GCCCAGGGGCAGGGTTGGGCACACACACAGAGGAGCACTCCTACCCACAGCAGGGACACATGTGACATGAGGGCATGGTAGGGGTGACAGGACCAGCCTCAGGGGACCACACAGCACTGCCATTACCCCCAGTGCCACAGTTCTCCTCGTCGGTGCCATCCATGCAGTCAGCATCGGCATCGCAGCGCCAGCGCATAGGGATGCAGTGTCCATTCTTGCACTGGAACTGGTCAAACTCACAGCGGGGGGTACAGTCTTTCTGCGGGAAGAGGTGAGGGACACGGTCATCAGGGACAGGCTGGCCGTGGCAGTGCCCCATCCTGGCTATGAGCCCCCAGGACCATCCGTGGAGGCAGAGCAGGGGATGTGTCCCGACTCCCGTGCTTGGGCAGGGAGGAGGGGCTGCCCGTGGTGCCATACCTCATCGGAGCCGTCGGCACAGTCGTGGTCCCCATCACACTTCCACCTGCCCGCGATGCAGCGGCCGTTGGCACACGAGAACTCGCTCTCGGAGCAGGGCCTGGGCGCTGGGGACAGAGAACACGGGGTGTCTGCTGAGCACGGGGGGACACAGGCTGCGAGGGCAGGGGGTCACCCTGGCCAACAGCTTGGGGGGCACAGGCTGATACAGACACATGGCCAGCGGAACTGGGGACAGGGGGTGCAAGCAGAGGTGGAGGAGCTGCCAGAGAGGGGCATGGCTGGTACCACTTCCTCCTGGTCCCCTTCCCACCCCACTCCATGGCTCCCAGCTCCCTATGGGGGCTTTGGAGGGCACTGTGGGCACACGGCCTGGCTGTGCCCCAGGTCACTCTTCATGAAGGCAGCACCAGCTCCACTTGCTGTCTATCCAGGCTGTTCCACTGGGCAGGAGGAATGGCATTAGTGCCCTGGCAGAGGCTCACTCTCTTCCCCCGAGCAGGGCACGTGGACAGACACCCCTTCACAGCTCATCAGCACAGTCAGTGCCAAATCCAGGACGACAGCACGCGGCACTGCTGCCCACCTGGGATGGCTCATGGGACCCTTCCCCTCCCCACAGTCCCAGGGTGTAGGGGCACACAGACCCTCCGGCCATGGAGCAGGACTGTGGGGGAAGAGGGGGGCAGGGGGTATCCAGCTGGAACAGGAAGGGTCACGGTGGGGACAGGTTTCGGAGCCAAGTTTGAGCCATGCATGGGCCCCATGGAGCAGCAGGGTCAGATCCTCCCTGGCTGCAACTCCATAGAGGGAGATGCTGGTGCTGGTGCTGATGCTCAGTAAATCCACCTGGGTTGTCCAGTCCTGACCCCTCTGCCCTCACCTGGAATTTACTGTCTTCATTGATTTTAGAGAGACTGTACATGGAATTAAAAGATTTTGGCAGGAACCTACCTCTGAGCTCCCCATAACGACAGTGTGAAAATGGAGAAAAACATAAGATGAAGTGAAATGGCACAAACTCAAAAACACGACGGGAAATCAACAGAAAAGAAAACAAAAGCTGCACCCTAAAGAGCTGCAGGGAAACAGAGGGACCCGATGGGTACTGCAGGGTGGGAGAGGGTCTGACAGCAGACCCTGTTTCCACTGCACAGGCAGCCTGGGCCCTCCTGAGGGATGGAACCACAGCTGACCCCTGGGAATGGTCTCCTCCCTGAGGACACTCATGTTCCTCAGCTGCTCAGCAGGACGGGTGCTGGCACACCAGTGGGAACACATTAAAGGGGCCGCACTCAACACTTTGTCCCAGCTCAGGGGACCAGCCACCTCCCTGTGTGCTGACCCAGGCCTAGGGTTGTGTCCTGAGTCCCTCCCAATGGCTCCCTGTGTCCCCACCACCATGCCAGGTGCCACTGCCAGGCAAGGGGTGACACACAGGGTGATGCTTGAGGGCAAAGCTGCTCGGGTGCCAGCAGGATGAGGTGCCCGTGGGTGAGCATCGCCATGCTGGGCCCCCACGCTGCTGCGGGGAGGGTGTTGGGGTCACCCCTCCCCGTTGCCTGGCTGGGGGAGACGGTGGCTCCCTGAGCTCCTGACCACTAGCTGGACACACCCCCGAACACTGGGACCACCATCAGCAGGTGAGGGGCCGGGGGGCCCAAACCTCTCCCCTCTCCACTGCCCAGTCGGCCCGTGGGATAGCAAAGGCTTGGAGGTGGCACGTACTGCAGCTCTCCTCGTCGGAGTTGTCCCCGCAGTCGTTGTCGTAGTCGCACTGCCAGCGGCCTGGCACACAGCGGTTGTTCTTGCAGCGGAACTGGTACGGCTCACAGGTGCGCTCGTCTGGGAGGAACAGCACAGGGATGGGGTCAGCACTGCCCTGCACGAGCGGAGGGCAGGACAGGGGGACCTGCTGCTACCACTGCCCTGCACCTCCCTCCAACCCTGCCATGCCCACACTGCTTGGAAAAGGGGGAACTGGAACTACCTGGAAACCACAGAGGGGACAGCCAGCACCAGGCCAGCCTGTCCCTTGGGAAAAGGGGGACACAAGATGACACTGGCTCATCCCCACAGCCCCTGCTCACCGCATTCCTCCTTGGGCTCATCAGATCCATCTCCACAGTCATCCTCCCCATCACACTTCCAGCGTGCTGGGATGCACCGGCCTGAGTCCTTGCACCGGAACTCATCCACACCACAGGTCATCTGGGCTGGAAGGGACAAAAGATGACACAAACACAGGGAGGGGGTCAGCACTGGCCAGGTATGGTTTGTTCTATGCAGGGCCAGCAGCCTGCAGCTGGCTGAGCACCCCTGCCTGGAACAGCAGGGTGAGATCCCCCATCCTTCCAAGCAGTTCTCCAGGGAGAATTTAGGGAGAGGAATCCAGCAGGACAGATCCAGGCAGAGCCACCCCACCATCACCCACTGTCTGCAGGGACTGAGCAAGGACCTGCCACCAGCAAGCACACAGAGGTAGGTGACAGCGGCAGGGAGTCCCCAGTTTCAGAGGGCCAGACCCTCAGCCCCACGCAGGCTCCTTACTGCAGTTGGCAGGTTCATCGGAGCCATCCACGCAGTCATTGTCGCGGTCGCAGACCCAGACACGGGGGATGCAGCGCTTGGTGATGGCACATTGGAACTGGTTGGGGGCACAGGTCACCTCCGCTGCAGGAGGGAGAAGGGGTGTCAGGAAGGGCAGCAGTGCAGGCAGGAGGCTGCCAGCCAACCCCTTCCCCCAGAAACCACCCGTGGGGTGGAGAGGTGTGCGGATGCTCCAGGGATCACAACGGTCTGGCCGTGCTCAGTGGAGGAGACAGAGCAGAGTCCCATGGTGGCCCCAGAAGATGTCCAGCTGCAGGGGGATAGGGCAGAGGCCACTAGATCCCTTGGCTGGGCAACAGGCTCGAAATCCAAAATCAGCCCAAATCCATGGCAAGTATTGAACCAGCCACTTCAAGGGATTTAAGAATTTCATTTCCACTAGGAAACAGCAGTGTCTGTAGGGGGACCAGGGTGATGGCCATAGAGGTTCTGCACTGAGCAGAGGTACAGAGAAAGCCCCAGGACCCTCCAGAGCAGCCAAACACCCCAAGACACAGATCTGAGGCAGCGCTGAGACCCTCGGCCCCCCACTCACTCCCACCCGGCACCCCCACTCACGACAGTCCTTCTCGTCCTCCCCGTCCCCGCAGTTGTCCTGCCCGTTGCAGCGGAAGATGCCAGGGATACAGCGGTTGGTGTTGGTGCATTTGAACTGGCTGGGCAGGCAGACGTGGATGTCTGGGGAGGAGGTGACACAGTCAGGGGGTGACAGGCTGCAGCTCCATGCTGCAGGGGTCCAGGGGTCATGAGGGGACACAGCAGCCTACCACAGTTGGCTTCATCCGAGTTGTCCTGGCAGTCGTTGTCTCCGTCGCAGATGAAGGCTGGATTGGTGCAGATCCCTGTGGAGCACTGGAACTGTCCCGGCCTGCACTTGAACTCAGCTGTGTGGTAACACAGGGTGACAGGTTTGTTCTGAGGAATGTTTTTAGGGCAAACCTCAATTCCCTCCCTCCTTCCCCTTCCGGGGTCCTCAGCATCCAGCACCCAACCCATAGGACAATCCCACCACAGAGACAATGTGTGTCCCACCATTCCCCCAGTACTGTTCCTGGGGTGACCCTCCCTCCATGGGGCTGCTCCAGACAGCCCAGGAGTGCTGGGACGTCGTGGGCTGTGTTCCCCCCGGCACTCACGGCAGTCCTCCGGCTCATCCGACCGGTCCCCGCAGTCGTCCTCGGTGTCGCATTTCCACCAGAAAGGGATACACTTGTCGTTCTTGCAGACAAACTGATGGAGAGAGGAGCCTGTGGGGTGGCTTGACATGGGGAGGGAGTATCCCAAAAGGCTTCATCCCCAGGGAGCTCAGCCAAGGACACTGATCCCGTGCTGTGCCTTTCAAGGTACCCTCAGGACATGACAAGTCCTGACCTAGAGCAAAGCTTCAACCCCACCCAGTCCCTGGAGTTTGATGAGTGGGGACAGGCAGAAGAATGCTCCAGAGCTGGAGGGTCTCTGGCTCCCCTGGGTACCCCTAAAAGTCAAGTGCCACACAAGGAAGGTGCTGCCTGTGCCTGCAGAAGATGTCTGCACTCCAGCACCCCCAGGGAGACCATGGCAGGAGGGTCACAGACATGGGCAGGGGGAATGTCCAGGCAGGCAGGGGCGGGCAGGGGCAGGCAGGAACAAGTAGGAGCAGGCAGGGGTGGGCAGGCAGGCTGTTACCTGGCTGGCTGTGCAGTTGGAGACACAGGTTTTGCCGTCACTGCCCAAGTAGAAGTTGGTGGGACAAGCACACTTGTGCCCCCCACCCGGCGAGAGCAGGCAGAGGTTGCTGCAACCAGCATTGTTGGTCTTGCAGGGATGGTTGGGAACTGGGGAGAGCAGGGCGACAACAGCAAGTCAGACTGAGCTGGGGACCCTCAGGGTGGCAACAGAGCTGTGAGACCCTCCTCACCCCAACTCCTGGCCCAGCAACCCAGCCTGGTGTCCCCCCACATTGCTTTGCCCATGGTGCCCAGTCCAGGGCCGTTCTCCAGCGCCAGGCGCCTCAGCCCCGTCGCCCCTCGCTCACCGTCGGGCTGGCGGTAGGGGTGGTAGATGTGGATGTCCATGGGCCGGTGCAACGTGCTGATCAAGAGTGTTTTGTTGGCTCCTGTCGTCTTGTGGGCCCTGTTGATGGACTTGGTCTCCCAGTCTGTCCAGTAGATGAAATCCTCAAAGAGGGTGAGCGCGAAGATGTGTGGGATGTCCTGGCTCAGCACTGTGAGGGGAGCAGGTGGTCAGCAAGGGGCTGCCCTATGTTCCCCTCCCACATGGGAACCTATCCTGGGCACAGAGAAGCAGCCAGAGCTGGGGACTGTCCCCAGCAGCCTTGGCTCTCACTCCCACACGCAATCCTCATCCTGGACCTCACTAAGACCTGTTGGCTCCCTGGGAGCTCTGGCACTCTCACCTGTGTGCCGGTTGGAGCCGTCCAGGCTGGCGAACTCGATGTAGTCCTCCCGCGCGTCAGCCCAGTAGATCCGACTGTTGATGTAGTCGAGGGTGAGGCCGTTGGGCCAAGTGATCTTGGTGTCAACAATGACACTGCGGTTGGTGCCGTCCATGCCAATCTTCCCGATCAGGGAGTGGTCCCCCCAGTCTGTCCAGTAGAGGTAACTGGGGATGAAACAGATGAGTAGTGAAAGGCTGAGTCCAGCCCAAGCCATGGCAGTGCTCTGCCCATTGCGTGGCTAAACCCGTCCCTGGAAGTGTCCAAGACCAGGCTGGATCAGGGTTGGAGCAATCTAGCCTAATGGAAGGGGGGTGGAAGTTCAGTGTCTTTAAGGTCCTTCCCAACCCAAACTGTCTGATGATAGTAAGATAAATCGAGGCAGGACAGGGAGAAGCATCCAGGGTGAGGCT